ACGAGGGTGATAGGGGAAGACCACACCTGGCGGCGATGCTCGGGGGTCAGCCAGGGAACGCCGCCCCTCCCCACCCACCCTACGTCCGGGCTACTGTGCGACTCTTGGACCCGGACCTTCCGGTCCAGAGGTCCCAACGCTCAGTCCGTGGCCAGCGGCGCTCCGCTGATTGTCATATCAGTGGCGGCATTAGCTTCCCATGGGAGCGGGGCCCTGTGGTGAACTGCACATGCATGCGAGGCATCTAGGCTGCACCCTCTTCTTGAGAATCTAATGCCTGATGATCTGAGGTGGAGCAGAGGTGGTGATTGGCAGAGAGGCGTGACCGCACTTCTCCCCCACCCCCCCCGTGGAAAAACTGCCTTCCCCAAAACCAGTCCCTGATGCCAAAAAGGTTAGGAACCACTCACTGTTCTAGTCCATCCCTCACTCTGGCCTCAGACCTGAGCACAACCCTCCTCCTCACCTCACACCTCTTATGGGGTCCCTTTGCCTTAAGCTTGGGATTCACTTGATCCTCCCCCTTTACATACTTAATCGTGCCCAGCCCTCTTCAACTGCTGGAAACCTCTGCTCTTGTCTTCCTGCTGTATTCTACCTGCTGAACTCTTATTCATCCTTCAAAACCCAGGTCCCAAACTCTCCTCCATTCAGTCCTATATGCCTATGACATTCCCCCAGCACTAGAACCTGCCCTCTGGTCCCACAGAGCTAGGAATGTCTGTGTCCAGTGCTGACTCTGCCAGATTGGCAGCCCTGCAAGGTAGGCCCTGGGTAAAGACCCCTTTGGTTCCCCAGCATCGTCCAGGGCAGTACCCGGTGGTTTCCCTTCCATCTTTAGTTCCACATTGGATTCAGTCATCTCAGCTTAAGAGCAGTCTGTGTCTGTGTTGGAGGGTTGAGGTAAGCTGGACACTCCCAAGAGACCCAGGAAGGAGGCAGGCAGGGGCCAGGGAGGAGGCCTAGAGCTGACAGACCAGGGACTGAATCCCCGTTCTGCCACTCACTAGCATGAGTCCTGGGCAGGGCTCTAACCTCCCTGAGCCAGTGGCCCGTCTGCTGGTAATAGCTGTTTCCCTTGAGGCTTGGGAGAAATCAGATGAGGGACACCAGAGAGCTCTTTAGCTAAGCACCTGTCACATCGAAAATATCCAGTAACGGAGAGCTGCTGCTATCATTATTTGTGATTGTTGGGGAGTTCAGCAAGTGAAGACCCCGAAATATCTGCTAGAACCTTCCAGGGTGGACAGAAGAAAGCAAACCCAGTGGGAGGGAAGTCTTTGGGGAGAAGCTCCACCTCTCAGCTCCAAGGTCAGCCAATCAGAGCATCCTATCTTCTAGACGGTGATTGGCTCACAGCTGGGCACGTGACTCACACTGGGCCAATGAGGAACAACTCTGGGACTCTGGCTGCGGCTCCCCGGAAAGGCGTCGCTAAGCTGGGAGGTCGGAAGCCTTGCCGCGTGCTCGGGTTCCGGCAGGAGAAACCTCCCCGAGGAAAGCCCACCCAGGGCCGCAGAGATGAGGGAGGGGTTCCTCACATGGGGCAGAGCCTGGATCTCAGGCGCCCGAACCCCACCCTAGGCTATCTCAGCGTCCTCGCTGTCGACGCGTTCTTTGCTGCGGGGACTGGCCCAAGCCTTGCGGGATGCCAGACGGGAGACGCCAGAGAGCTCTCCAGCCGGGCACCCGCTCCACAACCCGCAGGAGCAAGCCCGTCTCCAAGTGCGGCGGCCTAACGCGCCTCCCGACTGTGCAAACCCGCCCGCCGGATGCGCCTTTCGCCTCCCTCCAAGGGAAGCCGCCTCCCGCCCGCGGCCGGCCACCTTCCAGGTCCAGCTTGACCGTGCCGGCGTCGTCCTCCAGCTCGTCGGTGACCTCGCACTCGTAGCGCCCGTAGTCCTGCAGCGTGACGTTGCGGAGCACCAGGGAGGCGTCCCCGGGCCCGTCGCCCTGCAGCGCCGCCCGCCCGCGGTAGCTGCCGAAGGCCCGCTGCTGAGGGCCCAGGGCCACGAAGACGTCGGCGAACGCCAGCGGGTCCGCCACCTTGGTCCACTTGAGGCGGACGCCGTCGGGGCCGTGGGCTGCGGCCT